AAGAGAAAATTAAATAGTTAACTATATTTGTGAGATTGAAAAAAAAACAAAAAATATTTTATCAGATGACCTTGGTTGCGGGATTTCAATACGAACTGTCAGCTGGGATTAGTAAGAGGAGCGAAGAGCGGAAGTTTTATCTCGGTCAGTCATCTTCCTGTCATCATACTAAACGTTCTAACAAAATTTTATAAATTACTGTAATAATTCATTATGTTTTCATAAAGTTTCACTATGAGAGAGAAAGAGAGTCTTCTTAACGAAAGATGATTACGGTATTCAATGTGCAAATGACACACACACACACACACACACACATACACACACACACACGTCTTCAGGTTTTTGTGAGAAGAAAAATATTGCAAAAAAGGGAGGAAATCTGTTTTGTAAACAAGATATAAGTGATTTCTAAGCAGATTTTCTATTAAAATCTCTGTTACAGCATTTCTAAAGAGAGTGAGAGAGAGATATGAGAGAGAGAGAGTGAATGAAGAAGGTCACAAGCTGGCATGGCTTGAACAATATCGTCCAAGTGAGGTAATATGGGAAAGTTTGCAGATGACTTAGTTAATTCCTAAATCTTCAAAGAATAATTTATGTTTATAAGTGTGTTTAATAACTAAATGAACACAATAAGCTCAAGTGCTTTTTGGGATGAAAAACAAAAAAAAAGTTTTTTGCGGGTTAGAGGGAGATTGAGAGTAAAAGGAAGTTTCGACTACTTGAGATAATCCTTTTGAATTGAGTAACCGACAAGCAAATGGTTATTTATCCAAAAGATTATTAACACGTCTTCCATTAGAATCTAATAGTTATGGTCAAAAAAGGTTAAATAAATAAATAATTTTGTAGGGGAGGGTGAGGGAGATGGAAACATTGAAAGTTGAGGAGTGATGAAGGAGAAGGAAGGTGGAGTACACTACTACTACTACTACTACTACTACTACTGGTATGTGAGCTAACACCATCATGACGCCTTGGAAAGTTATAATGAAATGACGAATGAATGAATGAAATAAATTAAATTTATAAATATTTATTCAATGATTTGGATGATGAAATTTGATAAGAAAAATTGAAAAAATAAAAGATTTTTAGTGTTTTAAGAGTAACCTTTGCTAGATGTTTATATAAGGAGTTGGAAGATCTGTTGTTACGATAATTCCAAAAGCTATAAAATGGTCGACGTCGTTTGCCTTTCCTTCATCTGATTTCGTCCAGAATCAAACGGTATCTTTCACATATACATATATAGATGTCGTAAGGTGGAGAGAAGACGAGAGATTTTAAAATGTAGATGAAGAAGCAACGAAGACGACACGACGCCGTTGTCAAACGAAGGTAGAGGGGGGAGTAGGAGATGGCGGAAGATGTTTGACTGACCAGCAATACGCTTGTCTCTCACAGGATACTGTCATGGCTACAGGGAAAACAGTATGTAATCTACAAAGCAGACATCGACAATGGGCATAATACGATAGACAGGCAAGGAAGATGATAGTGCGTGGGCGATTTCTAGTAATTGACAGGAAACATACATGAAAGGACGGCATGAAAAGTATTGAAGAGGATAGAAGACGTGATGTGACCGTCGTCGTCATCGTCGTCGTCGTCGTGGACGTCGTCTTCAACGATGACTGTGGTGGCGGCGTAATGAATGAAGATGATTTCTGCACATAGACAGTCCGTCTTTCAGTTAAAATTTTTATGATCCATTAAAGGAAGTTGAAAAGGAAAAGGGTGGAAAGATAACATACGGGGGTCTAATGAGTGGAATTTGCAAAAGAAAGGGCAGTTAAAGAGATGAGGAAGATGATGTATAAACATGATGTTAGGTGAAATCATCAGATGATGATCACTTCTCATCTGAATCCATCTTGCATATCCGAAAATCATTTTTAAAAACTTATATTCTTAGCTACTGATTTGAAGCTAATCAAATAAATGAAAAACGTCAGATATAACGAGAAATTTTATGATCACTGGTTATCAATTTGAAATAAAATTCGTTTTGAACACCATGTTAGGACAAGTTCATAAAACTTTCTTCTCACGTGCGGTCTTCAGAGGCCATAAAGCTTTCAGGTTCTTAAATGAACTTTTTCCTTTTTCGTTTTTTACATGTTCGAGAGAATAAAAAAAAAAGCCTCTTAAACAAAGATAATTGTCTTTGATATTTTGTGAGAAAATGTTAATTTGAAGCAATATGTGTCATGCAATGACAGAGCGTCCATCAACGGTCATAGCCAGCCAGCCTTACCATCCAACCTTTCACCGGAATCACCGCTTCCCATCACCTCCTTCTATGAACTTTGCTAATCGTTCGTCGTCTTCTTATAGACAGATTGGTCATTAGACTCATGGTAATTAGTAGAGAGATAGTTGAAAAGTATCCGCTTTTCATCGGAATACATGAAAAACGAAGAAATAGATTCTTATCTCACTTCCAATTGTCTTTAAGTGAAAACGAATCAACACAATCCCATTAAATTTGACTGAAAACTTTTAAGCACAAAGAGCCTTCTATAGGTAATTAAGCTGTTCTGACCTTCTGTACATCGTCACTTGACAACATACACACAAACACCTAATAGTAACATAGAATGACGTTGTGTATATGACTATGCTATGATTTTTGAAACTTTGTGAGGTCTTTGCATATAGCAATGAGAGGAGGGGGCTTACCACGTGAGTGTGAAGGTATAAGTCTATTCAGCTGATCCTTTAATGGCTGTTATCCAACTAACAATCTATCATTTAGCGGTGGAAAGTTTTTGTTGGTCAATGTCTATTTTTGGTTGACAAGTTGTTCTACACATGAGTTTATCTCTCACTAGCATCATGTTGATGAGTCTTATGAGTTCGTTTGTTGTTTCTGCACATCTCCATGTAGTAGAGTCATGTATAGGCCACATGTACATTCTCATATACACTCATATGTATGTATGTAATAATTTATAAGTGATAGTTTATAATATAAAATGAATTATTATTTTTCTCATTCTTACATGACAACCGATCTGTGAGCTTCTATCTAATGAAATGAATTTCTCACGTGAAATGACGTCTAAACGTCTGTCTACTGAATATGCAAATTAGATTCTGATTGTAATGAAAGGCTATATATGTATATGAAAGGAGATATATTATAGAGAAATAAAAACTTGAGAAGTATCATTAATTATATGTTCGTAGTATCAACAAGCTTATTCAAATGTGAGTCACTTGAGTGAAGATGATGATCCCTGCCAATGGAATCACTTGACCTGTGATTGGCAATAATAACAACTGACAGATTCATTAGAAGTTTCTCAATTAAAGATCTCACCTACTCTATCAAACATATAATTAGTTATAATTAGCTCTTCTTCATCTCCTTCTTCTTCCTCTTCTCATGTTTATCCTTCTGCTCCTCTCACATACAGCTATTCAAGAAGAAAAAAAAAACGTTTTTTGAGCTTTGGATTGTGCGGAAAAAGCTTTAATCTCGGGCGCTGAAAAATAGGAAAAAGCTAACTATGGGAAAATGCTCTCTCTCTCAGCAGCCACTCGGATCAATCTACGTACGCGAGCACCGAGAATGCCCCCGCAAGCCTGAGAGCAGAAGAAACACGAAATCGACAAGCTTTTTCAGCCTCAGCTGCCTTGTTCAGCTCCATTTACTTTCCGAACGACCAGTTTTTTGCTTCACTATGTATTTTTTCTATTTAAATAAATAATATCCACTGTTATGAATTACTTTAGAATGAAAATATTAGTTGAATAAGTCATCTTATCAAGAAAAATAAAATTGTCAAGAGCATCGACTTCACACCCCCCCCCCTCCTTCACCTTCTGCCTTGTGTACTCTACATCATCATCATCTGAACTTCGCATTTATAATCATTAAGATTGTTTTTGATAATAGATAGATGTTGAATTGTTCTTAAGGAATTGGTGTAACCATGGATATGTTGTTTTAATAATAACACACACACACACAGCTTCCCAAAAGGAAGTCAGCTGAATGTGATCGCAACAAGCTCTTAATGAATCCGTTGGTTTTTGCTTTTCCATCATCAAGAAGGCTGTTACTCTTAAGAAATTTCTTTTTTTTTCTTTTATTTCAAATATCTTCTGCCAATCTTTTCAATTTTCAAATTGATTTTTCGTTTATAACAACTGTTTTCTCTCACAACTTTGATAGTCAGTGAACGGCTTTCTTCCTGCTTTCTCTAATCCTCTCACTAGCTATGATGATGTGCATCTATCTCATCTACTTAGTTTCTGATTTCCTTTGAGCTATGAATTTCTCATTCAAACATGTACTTTGTTGAGCTCATCTTGTCTTATTCTATGTGATTGTCTAAGAATCTTCATTAATAATGAATTCCTTAACAATCATCTTCTACACATGGTTGTTATGGACTTTGTACTCAAACACCAAAATGTACTCACACTTCATATGAATATCTTTGGATTGACACAACCATCACTGAAAAGCTTAACGAAAAGCTATCTTGGCAATGAATAAGTCAACATGAGTGTTTATGTTTCATCACTGTTTACTCCCCCTTTGATTCTTATAACTTTTCAAGATTGTTGATTTGACGACTGTTCAAAAATCTGAAATTGTTGGTGAAAATGTTGAAAACTGAAATAAATCTTTCGTTTTTTGCATTTCCTTCTCTCTCTCATCCCTCTCCCCTTCTCTTACACACCTCTCTCTCTCTCTCTCTCTCTTTATCATTGTATGTTCTCACACTATTATATGTTAGCAAACGAATATTTCATTCATTCATCATCTTTATAAAAACCTTTTTTTAGTTTCCTTTATTCCAAAGCAACACACACTGAATTTGCTTTGTCTTTCACACCCACAGACCACTTTTTCACGTAAATCTCACGTCTCTTCAATAACCATTTTGCAATTGAACGTCTGCCAGACCGGCTGTGTTTTCACTCATCTTTTCCATCCTTTTTTTCATTCCACTTCCATATTTCGTTAGTTGTAGGGTATGGCTGAAGTTCAACTACATCAATCATTACTTAGTTTTGATCAAGTTCCTGAACTATTTGAAACATCCATAACACCTGATGCCATTCTTCTGAAATTCGGTAAAGCTTTTCCCCATTCACAATACATCCTAATACACAAACACATCCTAATAGTTCCTTCTTTGTCTTTTTTTAGGAAAAAATTGGAAGTTGCGAATAGCTGTCTTGTTGTGCTCGCTATCATGGGCTTTAGGAGCGACATCACTCATGACAAGCGCATTTTTTGCCCTAGATAGTCAGCACACAAACACTTCCATGATTACGATTGTTGATGAAGTTGGTGGCTTCTTTCTTTTTTTCTTATAAATATTAAATACATGCCATGCTTACAGTTTGATCTGAGAAATGATAAAGCTTATCTGGCTGATTGGGGAACTTCGGCATTCATGATTGGAAACATGCTTGGTGGATCAGTACTATCCCATCTATCAGATCGGTCTCTATCAACACCATAACTGACTGACAGATGATCTTTTACTTTTTGTAGATTTGGACGAAAGCCAGTATTCATATGCTGTACTTTACTGCAGTTCCTAACGGCCATGGCAGCATCATTTGCATCTGATATGTGGATTTTCACATTCTTCCGTGCTTGTCATGGAGCAACCTACTTGGTTTCATTCATCCCATCCCACGAGTTTTCTGAATTATAAACATTCAGGGAACGTCATTGATTGGATGGGTTTTGGCTTATGAGCATTCTTCCATAGACTTCCGTCCATATACAACTCTATTCTTCGGATTATCCTGGGTTCTCGGATATTGCTTGGTGGCACCGCTGGCTTATTTCGCACCCACATGGAGATCTCTCATAATGCTATCAGTCTCTCCACTACTACTGTATGCCGTTCTAGGATTCTTGTATGTTAAGAGGGATTTGTAACTAAACGAATGTTCCATTGAAGATTTGTACCGGAGACACTTCATTTCCTTGTTTCCAAAAACAAAATGGACCGAATCGATCAATTCATACGATCAATCGATAAAACCTTGAATTTGCATATTGAGCTGCAGCTGTTGGAGAAACAGCATTTGAAAGAAAGCTCTGAAAGGTATTTTTGCATAAGATATATGAATAGAGATCTTTGAATTCAGTGACGAAGTCTCATTCATATCTGAAGTTTGGCACCACAAGAAGTTCATTGTATACTGTCTCGTGCAGCTATATCTGTGGTATAGTTAGCATGATGTATGGATATACTATATATGCCTATTAAGGACATGTGATAACTTCATTTACTTCGGATTATCGTTGTACAGCACTCAATTAGCTGGAAATGTTTATTTGAATTACATTCTTATGGGTGTTGTAGAACTTCCGGCTTATGTATTCGTTCCCTACTCACTTGATAAGTAAGATTTCATTTTCTGAAAGTATAAATGAGAACAGAGGGATGGAGAGAAGTGGGGGATGAGATAAAAAAGGTTTTCGTATTATTGCGCACAGCATAAGAACAACCGTTTGAGACTTTCGATTTGAAACGAATGCATGACTGTCTACGTGATTTTGACGTGAATTCTGTTCGAGTGTCTAGTTAGTTATGCCAATTAGGGCTTATAGCAGCGTCTCAAGTACAAATTTGATGAATCTTATCGCCCGTTTTTTAGATTTGGACGTAAAATGGTTGTTATAGCATCTCATTTGATTGCAGCAAATTGTTTTCTGTTGTTACTTGTATTGCCAGGTAATCAACAATCAATTGCATCATGCACATTATTTCCTTTTATAGAAAACCACTGGTTTGGATTATTATGTTGGTTTATTGGCAAGTTCGCAATCTCCTGTTCTTTCATGTCCTTATTCGTCTATGCAAGCGAAGTGTTTCCCACCAACATTCGTAACATTTCAATCGGATTGTGTTCGGTTCTATCTCGTATTGGAGGAATCATGGCTCCTTACGTTCGATTACTGGTAATCATATCCTTCATCAATTAGAATATGATTATACTTACTTTCCAGGCAACATATTCAACCAGCTTGCCGACACTAGTCTTCTTCACAATGTCATTGATAGCTGGCCTGGTAACATTCCTTCTACCTGAAACTAATAAGAAGCCTCTGCCTTCAAGAATCCAAAGATCTTCTCCATGATATGTTGTTGTCTAACATCCTTATATGTATTTCTTCTTCAAAATTCCAAATGATTCCGGTGAATGAACTCACAACAACCGAGTGATGATGTATTATAGTATCTTCTTACTATTCCTTTAACTATAACAAACCCTAATAATCTATTCACAGCTGATTGTGAGAATAAACACTCTTCTTCCTTATACGGCTTAATTTCCTTTTTAACAATCCAGTCTGTCAAATGGTTGATGGGATAATTTGAGTTTATTCACCACACGGACAGCAAGAACTTTTATGACTCAACGGGGGTAATTCGTCTGAAACTTTCACAAATGTTTCATAGCCTGAGGGCATTCTCAATTCAAATATGATTATCACAACAGTCTTCATCCATTCCTCATCCATCCATCAAGGCTAGCACTCCTTACAACTTCAAATGCTGGTCAATCATGCAACTTCAATGAAATTATGAAGATTGCTGAAGATTTTTTGTTTCTAAAAATTAAGAATAAATCTAAATATGGATTGGAGAGATGAGGTGAACTGATAGCTCTTGTCTCTCGAACGTCTTCTTCGTCATATTCATCTCTCACTCTTCTTGTATATCTATTTAATCTCAATAGTCTATATGAATTCTTCCGACATCCAGACTTTCTTCTTTTCTCCTCGCTTTCTTCTCCGCCCTCAAGTCGTTCTAGACTTCTGGATGGAAGAGAGGCATCATCCTCTTACAGAAGCCCAAGCTATTCTCAATCTATCTAGGACCATAATTCAATCTCACAGTTAATTAACATTTTAGTTTCTTAATAATCCCAATATGGTTCATTCTGACTCCACTAGGACTCTATTCGCTCTTTTCATTTTCCTTTCAACTCTTCAACAAGCCATATCTCAAGTAAGTGACTTTCCTTCCATTACAACATGTTCTTCTCTTCGTAGATAGATAAACTACGTGTAAGCTGTGAGAAATACCTTGTATGTCGTCTTGAGTTAGAAGAGAAGTATTGGCAATGTTCCAATAAGGCTCGTGCGATCACACAGTATACGTGTAAGAGTGAACACCTTCTAAGGTAACAGACTAATTCCATATCCTTGTATAGAACTACTATCGTCAAAGATTGAAGATTGAACGTTATTATTAAGATTTCAAAAGATATTTGAATGTTGTTTTCATTCTTGTAGTTTTCTTTTTTTTCTTTTTTCTTTTCTGACCGTAAAAGGACATTCAGCTTATCTTCTCGGTCATCAAACCACTTTGCTTTTTTTTTCTAAAACAATAACTCTTTCAAACAGTTTTATAATTATTCTTGCAGAGAGTTTTATGATGACATTATTCATCGGGAAAAGTATCTTTATAGATGTTATTCGAAAGAAAACTATTCTTTCCAACAACACAAGGTTCGCTAACCCATATTTGGCTTTTAATAACTTGTTCAAGGATTGTCAACTTACTGAAACTTGGGTTTCCTCTGAAAGTTGTACAGCTGACTCATTCTCAAATCATCAGTTAACCTGTCGAAAGCTTAAAGAGTGTTGTCCTCACATTAACAGGTTGTTCGCAGCTTAAGTAAGAAGCATAGCATTCATTTCTATTGCAGATGTTTTCATAAAGAATACTTCAAGCTGCTTACAATGCATCTGAAAGAGAAAAGAGAAACAACTCTCAAAAACCTCTACACGTGTACAAGTGGTTTGAGTAAAGTAATTTCTGCGAACATCTCAAGGTAGTCTCAATACTTCTCGTCTATCTCACTTCTCAATACTATAGCGAAGATACGCAAATCGCTGTTGATGTGATGAAACTCAATGAAGTAGTCATTGCTACTGTTGCAGACATGGGACTCTTGAAGAAAAAAGTAGTTAACCCGTTTCATTTAGCCGCATACGCTATGTTCAGAAATTGTCAAGCAGGATTCGAATGACAGAGGAGAAAACTAAGATCTCTAGAGGAGTTTCTAGGCAGAAGGCTCATGGTATTCCTCTATTGGATGGTAATAGCTATGTTCATGAGCTCAATAATGGTTTGAAAACACAAAAAGAAAGCGAATTAATAAATTATTTGAGGCACTGCCTTGCTTAAGAGATTAGAATCTGATTCAGTTGGAACAAAGGAACAAACAAACAAGGAGATTCCTAGATCATATAGACATCGAAGTCAACTGACCAAGAACTATCCTTCAGAACCAGACAGAAATATAAATTATAATAATCAAAATAGATTATGTTCGTTTCTCTAGCAGCACACATCTTTACTAAACAGTATATCTTTGACAGATGGCCAAAGCAGAAAACTTGAACAACTATCGAGGGGCACCATTCAAGTAAGCCAATTCCATGTTAAAAAAAATTTACTTCCTAACCTTAGAACCGTCCATTCACAATACGACGACCATGGTCATCGGACCGAAAAGTAGCCACGAAAAGGAAAATCGGACAGATTCGAGAGGTAAACAATAGAATTTAAATATAGTTAAACCATTTTATAGATAAAAACAATTAAGTCGCAATTACTCCCGGTGAAATCAAAACATGAACTGAAGATTCGGCCTCTTTCAACAGTTCAAGACTTTCCGAGACAACAGAAACCTTCCCTCCATGTTGAAAATAGATATGAAGAACAAGTATTGGAACCTACATTCTTAAAACGTTATAACGGTCTGGAGAGGCAGATAATCCATGTACTATCGACAACAGAACGCCTACCTCCCACAAGCGTTGTATATTCAGAAGAAAGTGAGGTACGAATGAAGAAAATAGAAAGTCTTTTTTTGCAACCGATTATCGATCGTTAAAATTTCGAAATGAAAATATCGCGCCTTCGACGAAGTTCACGTTTTACGTGGAACTGACGGCCACGAAAAAGCACGTGGTAACAGTTGTTATCGATATATGCAAACCCGAAAAAACATATTGAAAAGTACAAAACTGTATTTCAGGAGGATTTTGAGAGCAGTTTACAGCGGAAATCTAGCTCATTGGTTCAGTTTGCTAAAAATGCAATTCCTCTGCCTATTAGGAATAGCATTAATATTGGAGGTTAATATATTGAGTTTACATGAGAGAACATTGTTCTACAGGAACAGGACCTAATGAGTCAGATAATGAAATGGAAGTTGTTGTAGATGGAGGCACATGGACAATGATACCTAAGGTGTCAACAACATTCAGGTGACTTACGTGTTCTCGAACAGTTCTAATGGGAAAATTGACTCCAGTCCAACTCAAGGTAGCCCACTGGAGAATTTTATTGAACAAGAAAAGCTGAATGCCGCTGATATTCGAGATATAAGCACACAGTTGCCTCTCTTAGTTTGGAAACTTTTTTTCTCAGGTTGTACAACTATCTACTTCAGATAGAGAAGGATAAGTTAACAAGAGTCCATGTGTTGCCAAGATCAGACACATCAGAACCAATTGCAAAACAAACGAAGAAGTTCCCGGATGATAAGGTGAAATCGAAATCTGAAGTTTTCCATTGAAAATATTTTTTTTAGTTCTCAGGCAACTTCTGGTCTCATAGCAGGCATCACCGTGTTTTTGGTACCCGCCTACATCCAAAGTACGTTTATGTCGATTCGAATTAAAAACTCCATCAATTTTAAGTAGCAATATCCCGGATGTTGCGGAGCTTATTAAAATCCTCCGAAATCCACAGGTTTGGAGAACCATCGCAAGCTTATATTACTTTCCTTCAGGGAAGCAGTCACTGTGAGTTAGCGAAGACATGTCGCAAACTGTATTCGATGGAAAAGTCAAATTGTGCGGCTACATCAGAGGACTTCTCCCTTCCTGGGGTACCAAAGCGTCTTCGTTTCTCCAAATGCATTACAGTGCTCACACCTCAGTATGAAGTAAGTGTTGACGGTAGACATGATAATCAAAGAATGATCAGCAATTGAAAAATATGACGCGAGAAGTCGATTCGACAATGGAACGGTGTCTATCTTTAAAGATTGGAAAAACGGTTTGATAAGGCAATGGTTCGAAAATCAAAATGCTATATTTAGGTTGGGGTGTGTTCAAGTGATGTGCCAGCACTTCCTAACTTCAATAATTTATTAGAATGTTCGAACAGAGTCTTATTTCTAAATCTACATTGTGAGAAGCTGTCATCATGTTGTTCATCATCCTCAGAGTAAATCTATAGTGAATAATTGAAATTTTAATTATTCATTCTAGGTGTCACAAGATAGTTAATGATTCTGAAGCGTACAGAGACATGCGATCCAAAAAACAGGAGCTGTTCCAGAAATCACAAAAATGCCAACTGAAATCGCTTCGCAAATTCAACATACGGAGAGCAAGTGAGATTCCTTGACGTCAGTACTTCAATAGACGACAACCATTTCCAGGTGTCAAGCATTAAACTTGCTACAGTTGTTATCACATGCCATGATGACCTTTCTATCAATCTCAAATATCATGATAATCGAAGAGCTTTTACTATTCCAACGTATTCTTGATTATGTGTAGTCTGCTACTGGTGACGCTCTTGTATATGTGTGGCCAAGAATTCTTGCGTTATGAAGCATTTTCCACAGGTAAAGCACTGTAAAGGTCTGCATAGTAACTCGCTGTGCTCTACTTGACTTACCTGGAAGAATACTTCATTCTCCTTCTGCTCAACTTTCGTTCTCAACGCTCGAACTTGACGTTTGTACGAGCTTAGTTTGCTATTCAATTCATCTATCTCTGTCATGAGTTTATACTGAGTTTTCTAATAATTCAATTATGTTTGTGTTTCAAATGTAAATACAACTAACCAATGTATGTTCGATTTGCATTTGAGCTATTCGAAGTAACTTTGGTAGCTTTTCTATCTCTTCACTGCCCATCTTTGAAGTATCAATGGTCATGAGGGATGGCAGTAACGCTTGCAATGTATCGAATCGAGCTATACCTTGTTCCAATAGAGGCATACTAACTTCGTCTGAAATTACTATTATTATTACATTCGAATAACAGTTTACATATTATAAATCTAATTTATTGACTTAGACGAAATGACGTCGTCTTATATGGAGTACAAAGATTAATTCGCTTGGGCAAGTACATCTCATGTCCTTAACTGTCACACTCACGTCATTTCTCCTTGAACAGCTTATTATAATATAACACTGTACTATATACAATCTCGAACGAAATGTTTCAATTTGGTTAGAGAAACATTGAATGCAACCGCTCCTAGCGTACAACCATGCAAAAATGAGGTTGATGGCAATGATTATGCTAATTGGCCTCATGGGGGAATATCGTTGCGAGACATTTTTACAGGAGCATTGCTCTGAATAAGATGATCATGAATGTCGATTCATAAAAGCAAGTTATACGTCTATTATGTAGAATCAAATACTTCATTATGCTTCTTATGAGCTTTTGTTTTCGAGCGAAATTCGATGACGAGTTAATAACTTGATGGCGAATCATTAATTAGAAATCTTCTTCATAAACCTTCATTACAGGCTCGTTCCAAAAATCTTCCACTCAAAATACTTTTTTTAATTTAATTTATGAGATTAAAGAACTTTTTCGTAAATGAGCTTCATTCTTCTATTTTTTTTTGGTTGAAAATTTTGTCGAAAAAATAAGCGTGGGGGGGGGGGTAAGTGTATTACCTATGAGACTCCAGTCAGGGAAAGCATCAGCCACCATCTCTTCCATGGCAATATTATCGTTATCTTCATGACTAATCATAATGAATAAACAACTAGGAAGCTAAATATAAATAGAACGCTGAATATGAGAAGATCAATAGAAGAACCGTGGATTATGGAAAGTTGCTATGGTAACAGCCTAATGACGCCATTCTTCACAAGAAGACAGGTGTCTGTGTTCATTGTGAATTAATGGATGTACAGCTTATGAAAACAATTTCATTTTCGTTTTAAAATAAAATCATTTTTTATGAAGCTTTCATGCTTAGGATAATAATAAATGAAACGATTTATTACAAAAACACACATTCACACAAGTAACAGATTGAGATTTGAGAATGACAACGGTGATGATGAGCATGCTTATCAGATAGAATTTGAGAACAAAAACAATTAGAATTACAACAAACAAATAAAATAATCAAATGAATCCAACTTTCTCCATACTCGTCTTGAAGACCGTCTCAACACATGATTCTATGACGCGATCTATGTTCCTAGTATCAGTAGCATTTGTGAAATGACAATAGACAGGACGTTCTCGTTGAATTTCACTACCTACTAGTCTTGTGAACCTTTCTTGAATGTAACTAGCGCTCTGATCGAAACCTTGTGGTCCTGTACGGAAATTATCATATGCTATTCTTGGAAGGAAGGTGATTTACCTTTGTAGTCCTTGAAGCAGACAGATATGCTTGTCTTCTTCAACTTCTCACGAAAAATATCAATTTTGTTCAGAAATAAAATCATAGCCGTCTTCTTTCCAAAGCACCGATTGTTGAATATTCTTTTGAATAAGCGCATACTGTACTTCAGACGATTCTGAAAATAGAATGTTGTATTTGCAAAAATACAGGCGATCAACCATTTCTGATTTCATTTTACCATTCCCAGACACTTTTAGAATTTCGTCTCCATCATCTATTCTGAAATAAATTGAGATAAGAAAAAATACGAACATGAATAGATCAGCGCCCATGTATTCGTTACTTACTTCATATTGTAAGCCGATATCTCCGCTATGAACAAGATTCCGTTGACGTTGTCGAAACAGTGAATCCATTTACGCTGCTCACTTCGTTGACCTCCGACGTCAACCATTCTGAAATGAGCTTTGGTGTTCACGATGACAAATTAAGTATCTCATTATACCTCAGAATGTATTCTTTGAAGGGGAACTCAATTTCGTTGATTCCCGATGTGGGTGCTCGTGCTCTGAGTACATCCTGTTCGTTAGCACGATACTCAGGTGCACTTATTCGATCAATGTCATTTAAAAAACTACAAGAGAGATGTTAATGTTGAAAGAACTAAAAACTACTTACTAAAGTGCTGAATCTAGGAGCTCTATCTCGTCTCTACGCATAATCATTCTCTGTATGAAAGTCGAACGATATATCGCTTCAATGCTCTTGGATAGCTCGTACGTGATTTCGATTTCGTTTCTTTGAACTTGTCGTTTGTAAGCTTTGAAGTAACTAACATGCTTCTGAAATTGCAGAAAAAAAGTGAATTCTGATGCATGGACAGTTAGTTTACTCTGAGATTTTCATCATCGTCGATTGGAATTTCACATTTTTCAGCTCCAATCAACAGCTGCTCAACGGCTTCTACGAGATTGGCTTGGACAAGAAATCGAAAATTCAGAAAATCCAATTCGCTAAACCCATCTAAGTGTAAAATTCTGAAATGTTGAGTATTTTCGAGAAAAAACTGTCAACGAAGCACCTCATTTGTTTGAATATTGTACTCTTTCCTGATTCAGGACCACCTGTAAAGCACTCCCGTAGATGGAAAAGTCAAGAAGGATATCTTACCTAATAAAAGAATCTTGTATGTTTTGCGCATTTTGTCACGAGCTTGTTCTATCTCATTGTCGATTTCTACTGATCTCTGATATAACTGCTTCCGATCTTCTTGGCTAAATGTGGCAACACTGTCGCGAAGTGATTGAGAGAGGTCTTCATAAGTATCTTACTTGTTTGACAAGGATCCATGAACATGAAATCCACAGAACAAAAGACGAAAGTTGAAATTTGAGGTAGCTTCAGCTGTGGTGGCAGTTTGTCGAGGAACATGAGGTATGAGTTCTCCTAAACGTGAATGAAACTGTTATAGATGCGAGAGTTGAATAACAGATACCTTCTGACGTTCGGACTTGTCCAGGATGCTCAATTAACGGGTTAGCACTGGGCTGCGAAGCCGTGTTTAAGTTCTCTGGACTCAGAGTCAACAGGATTGCAGATTAAACCTGTAAGTATGGATGAATACTTGCAAAGTCCATACATTGAGAATAAAAAGAGATGAAGATGAGGAAATGAAGAAGAGGTGACATCCAGACACAAATACAAATGTTATTAATTGGAAGCAGATCTCCAAACTCATACAACCATAAAATGTGGGGCTGTTGATTAACATTTTTCATACGAATCAAGAAAGATAGAATGGGTTGCATAAGAAAACAGAAAATCTAAACAAGACGGCCATAAAATATTTTGTCAAAAACAAAACGATAACTTCGTTAAAAACGAAGCATCGACATAGGAATCTCTGTAATTATGAAGAGTTGAAGGATAGAGGGAGTAAACAAAGGGTTAATAGAGAGAAGATGGTTGGTTATAGGAAAGGTGGAAGACGAGGTGGGAGATGAACTATGATGTTGTAGAAGAGACGAGAGGGGTGTATGAAATAGAATTATCTTAATGAATTCGAAATAGAATTTAAAAAAAAAGGTAAATTGTAATGAAGACCCTTTGGTAATGATGATGATGAATGAGAGAAAGGGGGAAAAACGATTCTTCTTCCACTTCTTATTAGTACGAAGAAGAGGGAAGAAAACAGCTAGACAGGCTTGGCTGAAACAATCACAATATCATGGCAATTTAGAGAACTAACTGATAGTTTAGGTTAGAATGTATTATTAATACTCTATAATTAACTGAAATGTTCTATATACCACGCAATTTGCTCAAAAATGTCGCAAAGAGAGCAATAATAAAAAAATATGTTAATTCATTATCATTTGGATCTGTTCGAATCATAAGAAGAGTAAGAGAGAGAGAGAGAGAAAGAGAGAGAGAGTGCCTACATATACTTATATGGTTATTAAGTTTCATTAAAACAAACTGACCGAATCAATCCATTATTATATTGTTGGTCCGCAATTGGTACGAGGCCAATGAAGCAGAGTGTGAACGAGAGCGAGACGTGTGTTCACACTTTACTCTTTCTAATCTACGATAGAATGTGAGCCAATTGAATATTCGAACTATTCGATCTTATCATTTCATATTCACAAAATATAAATCCGTTCTTGCCTACTTACTACACTCGATACTCTGTGAGAGCTTACACAACATGTGCTGCAAGTAGAACTGTTCACATTTCGAATATGTCTCATTCGCTAAAATTTATTTTTTGTTGGAAAAACGTATTACTACCAGGTGTTTCGTTCTCATTCTACGATGTGCAAAAGCATTCATTGTTTTCTGAGTAATTAGGAAAATACATATCTGAAACTGAAAAACCTACCTCCTGCACAGCAGAAAGAAACCGACCGACCGATAGATAAGCAAACAGACAAATGAAAAGAGTATCACGTAAAACCCACGTAAATGGGCGTGCATACCCTAATTAATTAACAGTATGTAAGCTATATCTGAAACTGCGCAAATACGAATTTGCACTGCTGGTTCTCTGTTATTTCAAAATCTCTCAGCTATCATTTTCAGAAACTGCATTAACCATTATAGAACATCAACGAACCCCATGTGGCATATCACATCTTACTTAATCTCATGTGACGGAAGTTCATTATCAAAGCTATTATCAGTAATGTTTATTTCTATAATGAAAAATCAAAAAATAGGATCAATAACATAAAAACTGAGTTTGACAACTCTGGAATCCAATTCTTGAAACACCGGTAATTACATGTCACTATTGGCTTGTTTTATGAGTTTCTTTAACTCTTTGTTACGTTTGCACAGCTTAAAATCCAAGATAGACACATAACACTACATGCTGTACCTGTTCGAACTCTTCCGTCGCCCTCACGAAAGCTCTTTGATCTTCTTTTAATTGAGAATACTCTTCAAGTAACTCAGCCTTATCCTTTTCAAGGCGCGAATTCTTTGCTTTGATCTGAGAAGTGTACATAGGTGCTGAGAATTTCTAGGATGAAATACCTTTTCTAAATTATTTTCAACGCCTTGCAAGACGTTCCGCAAGTTCTGATTGAAAGAATCTCTGTATGGCTCTTTCGTCGCTCTATAGCAGTCCTTTGAGTAAAACTAAAAACTGCGTTCACATACTTGGGTAGGTTCTCCTCTATGCTTGCCAATAAGTCAAGCTGTTTCTTCGTGAAATTCTTCACATCTACTAAATTATTAAAGACGGTGATATATTCCTTCGTCTGGGAATGTTTATTTGCCACTGAAAATACGAAATATTAAGTAACAGAGGGTGTATACTTTGATCATAGAGCTCCACAAATCTTTTGTGATATTGCGCTACTTCTGCTGCCGATGGGACATTGTCAATGCTTGTCTGCATTTGTAGGAATTCTCGCGATACCTGAAAGAGACCATTACAGAGGCAGAACAAATCAAGAAACTTACGTTTGAGTAGTCTAGTCTGATATTTCTCAACTCCATTTGTTTGGAAGCTAATGCAGCTTTCAAAGTGGTGAGGTCTGCTTCACGGATCTAGGACTAACAACTGAGGATTATTGTCTTAATAGGAGTTACCGCGGATTCTTCACTCGATAGTAGCTCAAGTTCAGAGGTCAGTTCAGCAAGTTCTTCTTCACAATTCTTCTCGTAGTTAGCCAGGCTCTCTTGACGAGATTTGTATTCATCTTGAGAACGTATGTACTCTTGCATTAATCTGAACAACATTGGAAATAGGCAGTTTCATGAAATATTTCAAACTCAGGGTCTATTGTTTCTATAAATTGTTTCATCTCGTTCGTTTCGGCTCTCAAAATTGACATGGTCTCATGAAGTCCGTTATTATCCTCATCCATCTCAGTGATCTGAACATCCAACAAATCTCTTGCGGATTGTAACTGTAACAGATGAGTTGCTATGTCATAAGAAAATTACGAATAACCTCTTCCAACTTGGCTTTCATGACATCCTCCTCGGACAACGTTATCTTAAACGAAAAACTGACCGTCTCATGACTACTGAACTCACAGATTCTTTTGGGAGTACGAGATTATCGATAACTTTTTTCAAAACTTTGGTAGAGACCTTGTCGCGAGCGGAAGTCTCTTCTAGGTTTTTCAGTGTACTCCCGAGAGATTCGTTATTTGATGCAGCATTATTTTCAAAGCTGAAACACACGAGCTGTTTTCAAAACTTAATCGAAAGAATACTTGGAATATTCTGCTAAGGTACACAAAGCATCGTCGTAAATGTTTTTTGTAACGGTGTTCGATCCTCTTTTGAAATTACGTTCGGGGAAAACATTCGCTCTAACCTCTTCGTAGTTTTGACTTGATTTCTGAAACATCAACGATCTTAGCAGAAGAAGGACTACGAATGTCTTACAGTAATTATTCCTTTCTTTTGCTCATATTTGTAAAGTGCGTAATGTTCCAACTCGTCCCCATGGAGCTCTTTGGCCTCTATCGTTTTTTTGACTAGCCACTGATGATTGATCACGATTACATTTAGATTGAAGATGAAAACACCTGTATGACAGGGAAGATATGCTTATAATCGAATCCTTGGATTTGATGAGGTTGGATAGCGAATGGACATTTCAATGCGTTCAGTGTCTCCACGATTTTTTCCGTTAAAGCACTTAAAGGGTTTTTGAATCAGTTTCGTCAAAGAAGGAAAGAGTTACATTCGTTCTCCAATGGTAGAGTTCTCAGAATGTAATAAGTCCACGTCCACGGAGTAGTTACACATTGTTATACACCATACCATACCACCTACAATCTAGATACCTTCCTGTTTAACGTTAGTTCGTTTTTCCCCCAAACCTTATCGAAAGGAGAAAGACCTTTGATTCGTGCCCGAAAGTACCCGCATGCTACCAGTAAATCAATGCAATCTTGGAACTTCACTTGCTGATCTTCATCTTCTCGTACATCAGCCTACTTTAAGAATACAACAGCATTTCATATGAAAACTTACAGAAGCCCTCGATGCTGCCGACATTCGACTGATTGCTCCAATGGGATTCAGAGGTAAGCCTTATTATGCAGCTAACAAGTCAAAACCCTAGAATGGCGTACGGTAGTGGCTAACACATTTTCAGCGCGACGACGATTTTTCAAATTTAAGTTATCTGGCAGGTTCATTACGCACTCACTTCCATTGAAATCCTTCGATGAAACCAAAAACCCCTAATGCTCAATCTCCCAAAGCTCCAGCTGCTAAGACCCAAAGTATTGTGAAGAAGTCAAAGAAGGAATATTACAATACCAGGTATGTTTGAGAAAATAGTTTGAAAACTTCTTTACTCTGTTCCAGATACTCTTATGGTAACTTTGATCGGTATTATGGAACCCGTTTAGATCCTGGTCAGAGTGATGCTCGATTGAATATAATGAAAAAGGAATGGTTCGAAAGACAGACTGTTCTAGATATCGGTTAGTTCAACTTCTTCGCCAATGTTTCAAAATGACCATGTCTAGGCTGCAACGTGGGGTTTCTCACTCTATCTCTCGCAAGAGATTTCCAACCCAGACGAATTCTTGGAATAGATATAGATGAGCATCTAATTGGAGTAGCTCGGAAGAATATTCGTCATTATTGCGACAAAGACACCGAGGTGAGAGTTGAGGTCCATTCGAATCTGTAATCACTGAATTTTCAGTTCAATGGCAAGTTCCCTGCTTCCTTCTGTAATTCTTTCGGTCCTGTTTCACAGCAATCAACAAACTTCAAAAATAAATTCCCAGATAACGTGTGGTTCCGTAAGGAGAACTACGTTCTGGAATCTGATGAACTGCTTGATACGGTAATTCAGAACCAGTGTCTGCTCGAACGAATTTGATAGATCCCCACTTTCAGGTAGTAGAAGAATTTGATGTGATACTTGCCTTATCAATTACTAAATGGATACACCTGAATTGGGGAGACGATGGGATGAGAAGGTTTTTCAGGCGGATTTTCAAACATTTGAGACCGGGAGGGAAGTTCATACTTGAACCTCAGCCATATGATTCCTACAGAAAGCGATCGAAGATGACGGTTAGTTTCATTTTATCTTTGATCTTTAGTGATTACCTTGGTCATACAGGAAACGCTGAAGAAGAATTACGATTCCATCGAGTTCAAACCTGATGACTTTGAAATGTATTTATTAGAAGAGATAGGATTTGAGAAAGTGGAGCACTTGGGTGTGCCTTCAGCCAAATCTAAAGGCTTCGAAAGACCGGTAGATGTATATTTCAAAAAGCAACCCAAGTTTTTGACGAAAAAGCTCTTGATCACCAACGAAGATACTCCTGAAGCTCAGTCTCCGATCGATTCCAACCAGTAAGTGATCCTCCACCATGAGATCTCCTGATTGTTATATTTATTCTCTGTTAACCGTTGTTTTAATATTTAATAAATTTTTTTAAAAAATTTTTGTTTGAAGATTGGCGTTAGGTGTTCGCGATACCTTACTATTACTCTCTCGCGCAGGAGAGTCCAGAGAAACGAGAGTGCCAATCGATATTGCGACCAATTGCGTTAAATTATAATCTAAAAATAAGAAGAAGAGATGCTTCATTTTGTATTTTTTTGAAGTTTTATTGATTCTCTGTTTTTACATATTTATTCTTTACTCTATGTTTCTCATGATCTTTTTAATTTTGTAAAATAATGTTGGATGCTCAGGTGTCGTAGCGCGCGAGAAAATGCTTTCAAATTTCAGATAGACTATGTCACAGATTCCACCCAGGAAGGTTCCCAGGATAATATCAAGAGTAAAGCCAAAAATAGAAACGAAGACTGGAGTGGACGGTAATAATTAATACTGAACTTGTCAAATGAACATGTCAAACATGGAAACTTACTGAATTGCAATTGAACCGTCGAACGAAGGCGATAATACATTTTGTTTATGAAATAGTCAGAAGTACTCGTGTTAATTTAATTTCGGAGGACTTAAGAAGTGAAGTATAATAAGTTTTTTGAAGAGAGATGTAGTACATTACGAGGCGATCACACAGATTTGGTGAGGAATGATTTATTGGATGAACTAGGATCTGAAAAAGTAGTTATCCGCGATGGAATCGTTGTTGCAGTTCAGCAATCAGAGAAGAAAAATGTGAGTAGAGAAGTGAGCAAGGGTTTATCAGCTTGTGATTTAGAATATTCAGGTTATGTCCGGCCACAGTAACAGAAGAGTTGTGATTGATGCAGGACTGCCTGCTCAAGAGCAAGGATTGTACACAGAAAAACCGCTCCCCGGTAATATTAGACTTTCAATAATCTACATCATGATCTCTCTACAATGATTAAGGTTGTGCAGATGAAGTAGAATCTTATCCATGTAAATATTGTCCTAATCATGTTTTTTTAACCACACTAGGACTCGAAAAGCACGCGAGAGAGTTTCACGTTGAACACCTTCAAGAAGTAAACGAAGAATTTATGTTTAGAAGTCATTTACGTATTTCCAGATAATGGCGTATATGACTACAATACAGGAAGAGTGGATACGAAGAGAAAGGGAACGAGGAAGACAGAGGGAAAGAGCTCAAATGGCCAAGTTACGACAAGAGTCTATCGCTCACGCTGCTGTCCGGAATTCGGCACTAAGAATAACTGAAATAGAAGTTGGGCAAGGTGAGCTGGAATTGAGTATAAATTGTTCAACCGGTCATGCCTGCAATCATATTGAAAATGATTAGCGTACCCCACGTCATCAATTGAGTCGTATGCTAATTGAGACGCATCTGAGCAAGAGTCGAACCAAGTAGAATCCGTTCATTTATCAACTTCAGAAGTTTCTATATCTGATCAAATGGAAGACGAACACTTCGAGGCTTGTCGCATATGCTCCCTTCTCATCAATGCTAATCATCCTACCGCGATGGAAAACCATCTCCGAGCACATAAAAAGAATGATGAACTAAGAAGTCAACTGTTAGCAGAATATGGATCTGAGGTTTGTTCTGGGATTGTCGAGTATATGATACGCTTTTCAGATTGTCGGAAGGTTGACATGTCACGATTGTCATTTAGTTTTCACAGAAGATAGTAAGTTAGCGTTACATATTGAACATACTCATGTGAGAAGAAGAAGGTAACAGAAGTCTCCCTGAAATAACTGTCTACGAATACATCTAGATTCGTGTGCAAATGGTGTGGACATTTATGCGCATCTATGACTGATTTGAATAACCATAAAGCTGATGTTCATGCAATGCCAGCTTGTCAGAGCCGCCAGGAGCGTAATGTATGTTCTTTCACCGCCTTGCTTTGCTTAGTTCTTATTTTCAAGATGATTATGCGTAATAATGCTATAAAAGCACGTGCAAGAGTAAGGGCTGAACAGTTTGTTGAAAGATGCTATGGCCCTGGGAACCAGGATGCAGTTTGCAGGTTCATTTATTCGTTTCACGTTTCACTCATTCTCTTCGAATTTCAGGACGAACTGTGAAGAGTGCGGATTACGTTTACTACGACCCTCTCTCCTTATTAGACATATGCTTCGAGTCCATTCAAAGGAGAGCTTCTCTTGTAAAGTAAATTTGTTTGGTTGAGTCTTCTTAGCCTATATTATCTGTTAAGATTGAAACAAATGGAATCGAGCCATTTAGAATAGAAGTTGATCAAGCTAGAATTCGATGGGTGTGTTGTAATGCCAAATATGTTGATAAGTATGTTTCCGCTCTTCTTCATAGTCTATTTTCTTCTCGTTCAGACAAGAGTTCAACTACCATCGAAGGACAGAGCATTTAGAAAAAATGAATCAAACTTCACAACAAGAAAAACAGATTATGGAATCCAGTTCTTCAGTTATGAACGGTACCATAAAGCTATCATTGAGTTTCACAATCATATGCTTAAGAGTTGAATACGAACGAACTTCCCATCCAGCCAGGCACTGCTGCTTACACCGGCCAAATTGTACATAATGACGATGGAAGCATGCAGGTAAGGAATAACTTGAGTCAGCTGATTTTCACACACTACATTCAGGTTGTTTTACCGGAGGGCATCGATACTTCAGGAGATATTTACGTTGTTATGCTTGAAGACAATATGGAGATCGCAAAGGTATAAAATGAGTGATTCAAATGAAACCGGAACTTGTACTACTTAGAATCAACAAAATGCTTACGAAGTCAGTGGTTCGAATTCTCAGGAGCCCATTCAGATTCAAGGAGAGCATCAAATGGGAGTAGATGATGATGTAAGCTTATTTTATGATCAACAATGTATTCATGTTGTTGCTGATTCAGACGGATACAGTAGCTATCACTGAAGAACAGTATCAGGAGCTACGAGAGCAATATGGAGATGATTTGAATGATCTGGTGAGCATTGGTTCTCTAATATGAAATTCAATTTTTATTTCTTCAGCAAATTGTGTTCATGAATGATGATATGGAACATGGTGGCCATATGGTGGTTCATCATGATCATAATGTGGATATGAATGTCGGCAGAAATGTATCACAACAACAGCCTCACCCTCAAAACCTTAACATCCAACAACATAATTTAGTTTCTCACCAACCTGAACTAACAAATGAGGAAATTTTCGAGCCTTAGACAATCAAAAAATGTATTTATTGTTTATTTATTAGAATGGTCACTATGATCTCGCTGCCTTTTTTGTGTTACGGGTATGATCTGCGTTTAGTATTCTGGAATAAGTGATAGTCACCTTCAATGAACCGGTTTCTTTTCCAAACAGTTGCACAGAATGTATATTTAATGTTAACATTTATTAAATTATTACAATAGTCCATGCTCAGCAAATGGTATCACAGGTTTTGAAAAGTTTGATGTTTTGAAAACAACGATATTATGGATAATCTTTGGAAAATCATTTATAACTGATTCTAAGAGTGAAATATCAGATGAACCGGATATGAAAGTTACCCGGAACTTTACTTATTCAAGATATGGAATGTGATCGAAGGTTGAGATTTCTGTTAAGGTAAGCTTGAGGAGAGTATACTCATAATATCAGATGAGGTTTCAGGTTACCGGATTTCTTCCGAGGAGGGAGATCAGAATAGTTACGTGGCAGAGGACTGAGAACATCAACTTCTTCTTCAGAGTTGCTTGGAGATATCTTAATAACCTGAAAAAGAGAATCTTGAATTGGAGTCATTATAGTGAAAGCTTTTTGTGGGAAGGAAAAAACGAATTGTGGGGGAGTATTGCGTGCACTAAACGGCTAGAAATGGACAATGGTGAGCTATGTGGAAAAATTAAAACAAAAGCAACGGAGGAATAGGATACAACACTATGTATAACTCTACCCACCATCTGCTCATCTTCCTTTGGCTGAAAATTTAAATTTTGCATATTTTAGTTTAAATAACTATGTTTGACATTGAAGATGAAAGTACTGTTCAAACTGCGATACTTACCCCACTGTGACAACTTGTTCTCAGTCCTCGTGGTAGTCAGCTGTCAGTCGACCCCATACGTTCTCCATTAAGGGTCTCATTATCAGCGCCTTGCTCTATGTCGTCAACATCTTTACCAACTGACTTCATAGTGGCAAGACGATTTTCTTGACGATAGAAATGTTTGAAATTAGCGACCTTCAATAGAGCATGTTAGTTCAGAGATCATGTTCATATGCCGTACTATAATTGGAACAGGGAGAGCCAATGTTAAGACTCCGATTAGAGCACACATTGATCCAACGATTTTACCCTGTGGACTAATTGGTACCAAGTCACCATAGCCGACAGTGGTCATAGTTACCTTAAAGGACAGATTATAACTATTTTAATATAAATACCCTTACCAGGACAAACCAGAAGGAAGCGGGGATAGAAGTAAATTTAGTATTAGGATCACCCTGCTCGGCAAAGTAGATTCCGGATGCGAAAAGTACGAGAGCAATTGCCATAAAAAATATGAGGAGGCAGAACTCTTGAACTGAAGCACGGAATGTTTTCCCCAAAATTTGCAAGCCGACTGAATGTCTAAAAATATCAGATTTTATTGAATAGTTGGGAATAGTAGCTAACCGACTAAGCTTGAAGATTCGAAATACGCGAACCAGCCTGAGAACACGAAGGACAGCAAACGACATAGATGAACTCGATTTGTTCATGTCAGCCCTTAAAGCATTACTAACATATGAGTTGTGGAATCACAAGCACAATATAGATTATAATTATAACTATAACTCACCAGAATAAATTAACAAAAAAAGGTGCTATAGCTACGAAATCTATGACGTTTAGAAAAGATGTCAAGAAGACATATTTTGACGGACAACTTATGAATCGTAAGAATAGTTCTGAAAACGGTTGTCAAGATGCTAACTAAGGATAAGTCCCTTCGTACCGATAGTGAACCACAATATACAGACAAGCTCAACCCAGAAGAATGGGTTATTGAATCTGCCATCCTCTTTTTCGGCTACAGCTTCGGTTGAGAAAGTATCGAATGGAGCTAGTGTTGGTATAGGTGATGCAGATGACGGCACAGTCTCCCAACAGAAAGAAACGATTGAGCTGCAATGATATGTAATGTATATCTCCATTCATCATCTCAGTTCATACATAATGATAACAGCAATAGATATGAAAGCTATAACTCTTGCCGACAGAGATGAATCTGGATATTCCATTAACTCCCAAATCCTCCTCATCGTTTGGTTTACAGGCATTTTAGCTTCAGGCGGCTTTTCATATCCTTCTGCTATCCAAAATTCTTCCAATAACTCATCGCCCATCTAAAACGTGATAAAGATTAGAAGAGATTAGAAAAAGAAAAATTACTTGATAAAAGTGCATTTCAGATAGAAAAACATCGATGGGAACGGCTTCTGGTCGTTTAACTCTCCCATTACTCTGGTAAATATACAAAATGGATTCAAAGCTGAAAAAAAGAAGAAAAGTAAAAAGCCATAGATCATCTAATTAGTAAGTTTAATCCCTGTCGGTCATCATTCGCCGCGCAATGCCAATTCATCCAAAAGCCATTAAGACCGCAAAAATATTAAAACTCATAGAAGCAGTTAGTTCATTAATCATTCTGATTGTCATCAATCGTTACTTATTAAATATATATTATATATTTTATAATGTATATAGCTTTATGCAAATCTTCTCTCTTGCACTCTCTCTATCTCTCTATGTTGATCTACTAGTCTCTAACAGCTGACATTGGCGAATCTTTCTATGATCAATCACATGAAGTTTAGACAACATTCTTCTCGAGCTCTTTACACTTTCAAAATAAATTTTAATTGAAAAATTGATTAAAGATTGTTGAGCTTTCTATCAAAATAACTTACGCTGAACGATGTCGATCAAAGAAATATTCTTTTGTATCTTCGACCCAGAAGCGCTCTCTCTTCAGCCGATCACCCAGTAATGTATTTGGATATCTATAAGTCAATTGCTAGATGAAGAGAGATGAAGAGAGAGAGGAAGATACCTTGATAGAGTTGAATCGAATGTTTGAAATCGTAATCCAGAAACATTAATGGTTATTAATTCATTTGAACATATACTTAAAAATCTACATTAAAATTTTATTAGAAAGATATTGAAACTAACGCATGGTCGTAAAAAGGTGTTCCTCGTTGTGGGCTATTGCTCTTCTCATCGTCATTCACCAATAATATTCCATTTGTTTCATCCATAATAGGACGTCTGAAGAATGTTCTGATCATTTGTAGTAGGAAAGAATGAAATTAAAAAAATTTGGAATGTTTATACTCACTTTCCTCTCTTTCTCTCGATTCTCTCATTCTCGTATGAGCCAAAATCCAAATTAGCATACTTTCGAAATATAAATGACGGATTCCATATGCTAATGTGATGTTTCAGCATTTTTTGTCTCCGTCAATACTCATCACAACTATACACATGGTTAACATAACTACATAGTTAACAACATATTTTATATCTTAACATGTGTAAATAGAGGATGTTACTTGAGGAGCTAAAAGAAATAATAGTAAACACAGCCGACCGCTAACTCCTCAATTTGCAAAATGAAAAAGAACGCTTCAAGTTTCGTTACACGTGAACATACACGTGAGAATATTCAAATTTACGTTTTGAATTAGTATTTGAAAATTATTGGGTCAAAGCTTTTATGAGAATTAAAACAGAAAATGAAAGCCTTGTTCAAACTGAAGGAAAACATTTTTTTTGATTAAATTTCAAGAGAGAGAGAGAGAGATAGACAGAGAGAGAAAGAAATGGATGGAATGAAGATGGAAGGAGATGTATAGGAATGGCAGACATATTCGGAGAAGCGTACTGACAACAACTGAATGAAGACGACGATCTGTTTTCTTTTTAAATAGTATATATTCATGTAAAATAGTCTGTAAATTAACTTACGCATAGAAATTAGTGAAGTCGGCATAAACAGCTGCCGAAATCATACTCAAATAGGGATGTGTGAGAAGACAAAACGTTTTGAAAAGGCTGTGTGAAGATGTTGTTTGTTAAATGTTAAACGGGATAGATACTTGGCTTGCGCAGAGGTGAGAAATGTACATAAGAAATGAAGAAGACAAATATATTCATCCGATATAAAAAAGATATGTTTTACACGAAAAAATGGATGAACGAAGTACGGTTCAGCTGAAAGTGACAGGCAGAAGGAGATGCCAGCAAGCAGTTAGCAGCTTGCAACATACACACACACACATACACTTAGGGAGAACGACAGTTTAATCAGCAATTCTTTCATATGAATGAACTTGTTGTTTTGCCATTCTTTAATCTCTCACAACAACTTTAATATTTCCGAATCCGGCTAGGATATGGTTATGAGGTTGAAGCTTTTCGAAAGTTTGCTACATTGTGTTTTCATTCTCTTCTCACTCTGTCAGTTTGAACATCTTTTGAGTTAAACTACCAGCTGGTTTTTAGAGAGAGAGAGAGAGAGGAAGATACTGAAAAAAGAGATGAAAGTTCTTTGAGGAATAGAAAAAGAACATTCACAGCTTCTGCCGTGAACTAATAACTCTATCTTTGAAAAAAGAAGTAGAAGAAGCAGTAGGTTGGAGTAGTTGTAAACACACGAATAGACATTACCTGAGATGTTCGTCTTCTGATGATGAAGATGAAGACGTCGTTTCATCTATGGATAAAGCTTTAGTCACGGAATTCATGCGAGTATTCGTTTTTCAGTTATGCGTTTTAGGTATAAGCGACTGACTAGTGAAACAACGGCAGATTTGAGTACTAAGGAGGAATGATCTGAGAGAATGAACAGGCGGTGAAAATGACTGACATCACAGCTGCAGTTCTCATCTCTCCTGCAGTTTATGCTTCACTCTCTCTATTTCTTATTTCCTCTTCATTTGCAATACTAACATAGTACTCTTTCAGTCTCAAAATTCATGAAAAAATGTCAAAAATCATAGGTAAACCGTATTATGTCTGATGAATTAACTGAAACGAAATCTCATGAAAGCATAAGATGCTCAAAGTCCACACTCATTTTTTTCCACCCCAACCAGCCAGTCGAGAGAATTGTCATCTAGTTGACGACGTTTAAGTGGCCTTTTCATCAAAACGCCTTATTCGGCTGTGCTTTTGGGATTCATCTTAATACGACAATTTTCAAACGATCAATCACATTAAAAAAAAGTGGTTGTAGAGAGAGAGAGATAGAGGATGTTTGGATATAAAAATGATTCTTAAGGGAATTAAAGAGAAACCGCGAACCTTCCAGGACGACGTCTGCCGAACTTCCACATAGTTGACGTGAAATGGAAAAGTTAGTGAAATAGCTCAAAGACTGAATAGTAACTGATTTTAATTGTTCATTGTATATAAATGGAATTAGTTATAAAATGGGATATATACGGAACAATAACAACGAATTCAAATAAGAAAACAACTGTCCAGCAGGGGTAGAGGGGCAGGGGACAAGGGAGGGCTCGCTGCATGAAACTTCGTCGTCGCATTGCATGACCATTTGAACTAATCTAACTACGTTTGCTATGAGGGATGCCCTGAGGCGTAACGAAATTCTGCCATCCTGAGCACTTATACGAAACATGGTTAGCAGTGCAATATTTTTCCACCAACAAACTCTTTTTTCAGCCCAAATATGGATGGAAATTATGAGGAATTAGGAGAAAACATGAAATTGGCGAGCAAAAAGAAAAAAAAAGAAAAAAAAAAAGGAAAATCAATCAGCTCGAGTGCACGAATAGACGATCATTCATATTAATAATATAATGTTTGTGGGCCATATATGGTGGTGATAGGAGGATTTTAAATGAAAAATCTTGAATAATCTCGTTGATGTCTTGATGGAGAGTAAGGGAGGGATGGATGGAGGGAAAGAGAGAGAGAGAGAGCGAGGGAGATCTTATGCAGATGAAAACAAAGGAAGAGAATACGAACGTCGTCAAGTGAAATGGAATTAATGAAAGATCTCTTTCACTCCCTCTCCTCCCCCCCATTCCTCAACCGTGTATTTACGGGTGAGAACTCGCACACAATTAGTTTGAATGTCTCTAATGAAGTATTCTTTTTTAATGTTTTTCTTTTTTTTGAACAAAAAAAAATATTTGAAATGTTCTTAAATGGTCATGATTGGGTCGAACGAGAGGGTGGATGGTTGCCAAGCGAAAGCTCAACTCAAATATGTTACAAGACGTTAGCTTATATGGCCATATATGGCGAAATCGTTTTAACTTTGACGATTGATTGGAGGATTGAATGAAAAAATAGAAAAGTTAAAGAAAGATGTGCTCGGAAGGTCATCCTAAGCCAACGGACTCTTTCTCTTAGTGAGACGATAGATGACGGCAACTAACGCTCGACATGATGGATAACATGAAGCCTCCTTTCTCATTCTATTGCTTCGTTTTTTTTTCTTTTTTTTCACTCTCTCTGCTTCCTTGCTTTTTTTCTTTTCTCTCTCTTCTCTTTTATAGCTTTTGGTGTTGTTTCCTCTTCAACATATTCCAAAATCAACCCGTAGCTTTGATTTGAAGCTAACAACACGGGTTGGAATCGTTTCGAACGTTTAATTTCAGTTGTTTTTATCTGTTTTGTCTTTTTCTTTTCTTTTTTTTGTTGCTTCTTACGAACATTCCATTTATGTTCATCTGTAGAACAACATCAAAATGATAATGAAATCTGAATTGCTTTGTCAACTTGTTCGTTCGTCACAAGACCAATTCTTCTATATCCTCTGTGTGCGGTGACATACAACGCTGCCACAACATTCTCTTTCTCCCTTTCGTTATAAATGTCTAATTCAGGAGATAATTCGAAGATTCCCTCAGCTGTCACAAGCTTTTCTTTCTCCTTTATACAATAGAAGGAGAGGTATGGAGAAATGAAGAGAAAGAGATGCGAGGGAGGAAAGGCGAGAATGAGTTGTTCAGTATAAATGAAGAAGGAAAATGTAATTATCAAATGAGCGAAATGAAGAATTCTATTCAAATATAGTCATTTTTAGAAAGCAAAAGCCTCTCTCTAATTATCCTGAAAGTTTTGGTCATAAAAAGGCATTTTGCATAAGTTGCAACAGTTTTGAAAATGAGTTAACGAGAGAAGAAATCAACAAGAGAGTTGAGAGAGTGAAAGAGAGATAATGAGTCAAAGCTTATTGAGTAGTTGATTAAGAGAAGCATGTAATCATTCAGATATAAATCAGTCATGTCATATGTTCCCTTCATAATGACTTCCTGTTATTCCCAACTACGCATTGCCTTTTTTGTAAAAAAAAAGAAAATTTCATTTTTTCATCCTTTAACTCTCATTCTCTTTCACACTTCTTATTTAGTTCTCGAAATACAAAACCTACTTTACACAATAAAGAGAGAGAGAGAGGGAGAAAGAGAAATCGTAAGCAAAAAGGAAACAAAAAAACAGAATTGTGGGTTTTGAGAAGAAGTAAATGAGTAAGTAGAAGCTTACAACTGGTAAGCATGTCATCTGAGAGCGTAAACGAAACTTCCGACGTGTAAATGAAACGATATCATGTTTATAGGATTTGAATGGTTACATGATACAGATGAATTCTAGGCATTATGAATATATTATAAAGTAATCTTTTCTCCCCCCCACCATTCATGAGGGAAAGCAACCGTTTATTAGTGTCAGCGAGAGAGAGAATGGCAATGACATCAAGTACAACACGTATACACGTATTCTACGTGAATACACGTGAAACGTGAACAATATGCTAATGAGTTTTTCAACTTCTTTCATTTCCTAGTGTATGCATGCAGTTTACTTGTTTTCCTTCGGCATACAAAGATATTTAGAATGTGCTAGTCATATGTCAGACGATTATCGGACGAGTGAAAGATCAGAAAGGCTTTTAGCTCTTAACTCAAATGCTATTACATGCTGATGAGGCAGATGCCATAGCATTCGTCAAAAAAAAGGAAAAGCTGACCGATTTTCTATCTGGCCCTATATTATGTTCAAGACAATTCTGACATCATACTAATGACAAATTTCAGTGTCAAATGAACCAGTGCCTTGTCAGTTTTTTCTGCTCCAAACGACAATTTTGAAGTCAGCTCAACAGCTGAGTTCAACGACAACATAGGAGAATTGGTTTGAATGATTAGTATAATCAAAGTAAGAGATGATATAGTACAAATGCTAATAAACTTACAATGGTGCTTCAACGGATTGAGCTCGAACTTGCTGTTGATCATCAGCAATCAGGACGGGT